ATACATTTTGGGGCATGTAATCTGTAATCTGTAATGGAATACATTTTAAAAGTAACCTTCCCAACACTGCACATGTATGATGTAATCTAAATCTGCATGCAGGTATAAATCATCCATCTGCCTCCCACTCAAACTAATCTGCTTCTCTAATCTATAGACCTGGAACTATTACTATTAGTTTTCAGTGGAATGTGCTGTATATAAGCATAGTGACATGATAAGAGTACCATAAATACTGTAGTAAGTTTAGAATAAATCAAAAAAAGTTGTTCTTTTATCATTTGTTGCATGACGATCTTAACTTGTCGGACTCTTACAAATAAATCTTTTCTGTCAGCATAATAAGTTCAGGAATTCTGTTATATCTACACGAGGTTAATTAACATGTTATGATAAGTTGTGAACTCCAACACATGAGCTCATGAGTTTGAGCCACTGGAGCGTTTATTTTTTAATTCTTATTCTTCTACTGAGAAACTTTTTTAATTGGAAAAAAATTCTAGAAATGTTGAATAGAGTTGTTAAAGAAACACTTTTTTTTTGTTAAAAGTCTAACATGAACATCCATTAATTTAAATTCATTAATTTAAGTTCATTTTTATTTGTTGTCATCTTTTGTACCAGATTGTAACAATAGTTGGCGTCCTCAATAGTTGCCTCAAGGCCTCAATAATCACTTTCAGCAGCAAAGACCTGCAAGCACTTGGCAACAGCGGGTAGAGAGGACTCTATTTAACATAAAGAGTACAGCAGCAGAATCAGGCAGAGCAAGGGGCAGCCCTCTACTCTGAAAGCTTGGAAGGGGCACAAACAAGACACACACGCAGACAATAACGATTTACGCTGCATAGACTCTTAGTTTACTGTTTGTATGCAGAGAAAATCATTTTATCCAAAACTGAGGACACTGATTCGTGTTATGTTTGCAGCAACAAATATTATCAGACGCCATTGGGCCTCTAGTGAGTCCACCACAGGGTGTGTTATGTCACCTGAAAGCCCTTTAATCCAGCCTGTCGCCACAGCTGGTGGGTCAAGATAAGCAGTGGCCACGGATATATAAGTGAGGCAATTGTAGCAGTTGCGACAGTGCGTGTCTTGAGTTCTTTCCATCTCAGTTTTAAATGGAGCAAATGCTGTGTCAGCTCACTCTAGTGAGCTGATCTGTCTTCTGTAACGGAGAGTTTGAACATATGATAGAATGAGTCAGATTTTCTTTACCCAGTGAAGTATGAGGGCATTCGTATTGTATTTGCCGACTAGGACTGAATTCACAGCGACACTGTAACTTGTTTAAATGGGCGTCAGTGTGTTCTGGTGGAACAAATATCTGGCTTACAACAACATGGCAGAAGCACAGGCTGGAGGATCATTATGTAAGGGGGTGCATTTAGAGCTGTCAAGAGATTTTTAAACCGCCAGCTATGATGCACAGAACATATTGATGAAGTTTTATGCCAAATCTATCCAAAGAGCACAATGTTTGAATGGATTTGGGGAAAAAAAAATCATAATACCACTACAACATGCAGCATTTAGACAACTTGTCTAAAAATGCCCTCATGCAGCACCATTTAGTTAGGATAATTATCTTTGAAGGATAATAATCATACAGCTACAATATTTATAGGAACTCCTTTACATTTTAGAGGTGGAAAAATAAGGCCACAGTATGGAACCACACATTCCGTATGAAATCCCACCGGAATAGTTCAGTCATTCACTTTGACTGTTGCTGTGGAAAACACATGGGGGAAATAATGTAATTGAGTGGCAATATAAGTCTTTGTATGTGTCCCACTTGGGGAAACTCTAACCTGACTTACACAACCACAGAGCCGATGAGCGACGCTCTGGTTCTCAGTAGTTGGGTGTAGCTTACAGTACAGTTTTAGCTGGAACTGCATGTGTCATATTTATTTTTCCTTCCGTGAGTGAAAGAGCCCACTATGAGTTCTAGCGCAGAACACAGAACTATGCAACTGGACTAAATTGTAGCTAAATGCCATTAAAAGATGTGTATATATACAGAAACATTTACATGTCAACAAGACACCGCTATACAACTTTAGTTTGCCGACTGGATATAAAGACTGCATCACATAGCTACATAACCAAATCAGTTAATCTGCCTTTAAGTTAACAAACAGGGTCTAAGTACCAAGTTAACTTTCAGTGCAGTCATGCAAAA